CGCGACACGGGATGAAACAGGACTTGCGTCCCAAATGAATCAACCCTTTTAATACCCATATTGCCCAGGAAAGGTTGTCCTTTTCACAGGGGTTTACGTCCGTTCCCCTATTCTTCACGAACATCAGTGTCGTTTCTACTACAGTGGAACCCCGTTAATGCGACCACCGTTGGGCCATAAAATCCTGGTCTTAATAACGAGGTGGTCGCATTAACGGGGTCTTCAAAATAATAAAATGACTCAATGGTTTTTACGTTTGGTTTGAAAGAATATGGCCGTAATAACGAGGTGGTCTTATAAACGGGGTGGTCGTAAGGCGGGGTTCCACTGTACGTTAAACCAGTATCAGAAAAGTGAAAGGGCTGTGATACGGAGCCTTTAACGGTTTTTTGTCCTTATCCGAGAATAATAGAATGTCTAAAGGCAACACATTCTTCTTATGTAAAGACCGTAAGTGTTCAAGTGTGGCCCGGCCGGTGTTGGAACCCGTGACGTCCGCTCAGCCGCCTGCGCTTAGCCAGGTGGCGGTTTTAAGTAATGAGATTGGCGATAGCAGCGTTTACAGCCGGCTCCAGGCGTTAAGATTTAAATTGTGGGGACACCACAGAGATGTGACAATGGCGGGAAAAAAAGGGGGTTACTCGCACTCTGACTAAGTTCCCCACTTCAATATCTGAACACCGGCCTGCAACAGGCTGGCAGGTTTTAAAAAGACGTTGGTGTTAATCACCCGATTCACGGAAAGCAGAACTTCTGCTCACACTTGCTATGGACCGTTGTTTATTTTGGCCAAAAAATAAACGCATAAAATGTTAGAAAGTGCGCTAATGTGGAAATGTGGTTTGGAAGATGCAATTGATGTTCAGAACCAGCGTTTTAGTGGTTGATAAGTAGGTGTGTAGCTATGAGGAAATGGTGGATGGATGGGCGTAACTGACGACTCTTTTAGGTCCAGTGTGTCAACAGAGGAAATCACGACTGAATCATGAACGTGGAAATCGCACTATAATAG